TACATAAATGCAGAGTTATAGAAGTAAATGTATTCGAAAAACTAGAGGCATCAAACGACATGGTTTGACCTGCAGATCTTATAGAGATTTTCAGTCTGGTGTGTAGGTCTTCGAAGTCATATTATTGCAGATCAGGCCAAAAAAGTTGGTTGTTGGAAGTTCCGACTCAGACCGATAACTAAAGGTCACAACTGCAAATGTACATTCACACCCACATCACGACACAACACTGTAAATTTGACCATATTTCGCACACCATATGACTCTCATGGCCAGTGTGTTCCGAATGCATGAGGTTCTAATATCTTCACTAAATCTTTTTAATCCGTCTAGAAAGTTGCTCCGAAGGTACGAAATGCCTTTTTTTCTTATTTAGATTCAGGAGCAAGGACGACCAACACATTTCTGAGAGCAACTTGGCAGTAATCATAAAAGAATGCGGGCATAATTGACTATTACTTATAGAGCAGCGAATGTCGCGTCAGGCTCGGACTTTGTAAACAGGGAATTTCCAGACTACACACCAGCGGTCTGCTTCAAAAGTGATGAACTCTATCCTATGTCCATCAGCCACACCGCCCATATAATTCGCGCATCTACCAGTCTGGAAAAACTGGATGAAAGAAATCTGAATAGGGAAAAAATTGGATTGTATGAACTCTCAGCATGAAGAAACAGAGTGGACGAGAACTAGACAGTGAAAACATTTGATTGGCTAAACTCCTATCACGAAAAATTTTAATTTCAAATAAATTAGCTGAACTCCTCCAAATATATGTGTACAGTGACTTTACATCGGCAGGCAAACATACCAGCATGCAAACTCATTTTGTTTCATATGATCCTCCCTTCAGTCGAGAAAATAAATACAAACACTATATAGAAATAATCATTTTTTTCTTTTGTATTCAAATCAATTATTGTTTTACTACATCGAAATCAAGCAAGAACGTTAGCAAATTCTGCAAAATTGAGTTTATTAGTATCACCTTTGAAGAATGAAATTTTTCAATAAAGCGTTTTATTAGACAAAAACAAACTAAACACAATCTTGTAGGATAACATCAGCAAGACATTCGGCTAGAGATTTAATGCAACTTCACGTATATCTAAAAGATCTTCGAAAATAATAAATCCAAGTGGTGGACTTCTTTTTGCTAGTTCTTGAAAATGAATATACAAGAGTTGAATTTGTTTCGGTGTAAAGTCTAAAATAAACTAAATTTCTATGAAAGGACCTGATCAGAAATCATCAAGACTTTCCTCAATGTGAAAACATTATAACATGAAAATATCTTAATATTATCCAACAATCTTGATGTCAGTTTATTAAGGCCTTGGCCCTTTTGTGGACAAAAACTCTAAAAAAAAAAAGTTAAACAGCTAACGAAGGAAGTCTTCAACTAATCAATTGTTTGTTAAGTCAGGACTAGGCGCTTCATGCAGGCTTTAATAAGCTATGAATAACCTTCAAAGAGTTTGGAGTTTTACCTTATTGCTGTTGAGGTACTGAATTTTTACGATATTTTTTAGTGAAATCTCGTAGTCTCCGTCAGAGACACAAGGAAAACTGAATGTCGAATTTCAACTTGAACTTTTGCGTACAGGTAGAGCTTAATGAGAATAGTTCATTGTCAAACTTCCAGATCTTTTCATTGTTCCTATCCCAATATAAGAACATTGAATAAACCGGTATATATGAGCGATGTTAAAATCACTCTTTTATCATAGCTGTAAAATAGTATAGGAACAATGATAAGATCTGAAAGCATCATAATGAGCTATTCTCGTTAAACTCGTTCTCTGCCCAAAAATTCAAATCTAAATTAGAAATTCAGTTTTCTCGGTATCTCTAACAGAGAACATTGCATTATGCTAAAAAATACTATAAAAAATTCAATAGCTAGGCAACAATAAGCTAAGGCCTTAAACATTTTGCAGGTTATTCGTCGCTTATTAAAGTCTGCATGGTGCACATAGTCCCAATTTAACAGACAATTGATCAATTGCAACAATATCCTTCGTCAGTGGAGCCCTGCATCGGACTCGGAGTCACTAAAAGAAATTTTTTCCGAGTCAAAGTTGGAGTTACATCATTAAATCAGTCAAATATCTTTACTTTTATATAGCAACTAGTTTAGGCTTCATATGTTAAATAGTACACAAAAATATATTACTTAATAAATTCATAAATAAGTTTCAACAAAAAAACATCAGAGAAATCTTCATCAACAAGTAACACAAAGCGAAGTACATAGTGGCTCCTAAAATTGATCGTACATATTCAATTTCGTTTTTTTTCCATAATGGTCACTCACATAAAGAATCTAAATAGTGATTTGAATTGAGAAGATTGTTTTTAACAAGGATTTGAGGAAAATAAAATCTTTCCAGTATTCTCAAAATCCAGAATCTCGCAGAACAATAGAGCAACTGATTCTATACAAAGTGACATGTCTCCAAGCTCTACACGACATTTTTTTGATGGAACCTACATCAATATTAAGAAACACTCAAAAGTAATTTTTTCACCATCTCATGAAGAAAAACTGAATAGAAAAGACTGTTGAGCTTTTCTTAAAATTTATGTAGTTCAGTCAAAAAAATGTCGTGGAGAGCTCGAAGACATGTCATTTTGTAGAGAATTGGTCTGCTAATCTGTGTAATCAAAAGAAGCTTACATTTTCAGGTTCTGAGGACAGAACAACTAGATTTGGTGCATATTGTGAAGATTTTAGTTCCCTCAAATACTTGTTGGAAACAATTTTCTTTATCCAAGTCACTATTTTGATTCTTTATGCGAGTTACCATTACAGAATAAAATCAAAATTAAATGTATATGATTAATTTTTGAAATCACTGTATATACCAATCAAAAAATATTTTTCGAAGTCAGAGTTGGAAAAAACTTAACTCCGCACGGTTCTATTCGTCAGTTGTCTAATTTTTTTTGCAAGAGTGCATCGCGTGTCTTGATATTCCTTAAGTTTTTGTCCACAAGAGGAATAAAATGTTGATAAATTGACATTCAGGTAGAGTCGTATACTGTTACTTTTATTTTATAATCTTTTCAAAATGAGGAAAGATCTGATGATTTCTGATCAGATTCTTTTATATAAAAAAAAAACAAAATTTATCAATTTCTTCACAAATCATTTGTAATTTCTCCTGCGACAAGAATTTACTTTTATTCGATCTTATGATTATAAGTATTTATAAGACGATCATATACGTCAATAGTCTAAAACATTTTTTTTTTATTCTTAAAAAACCTATGAATCGATTATGATCATATTGATGTAATTCATTCATTTAGCTGTAAAACAACAATAAAATTCTTTAGCCATTCATCAATAAATTCGTCTCAAACATTGCAGCAATAAAAGAAAAAGAAAAACCATTGACATATGTTATGTATTTTGCTTTTAAATAAATTTTATATTTGTATTTTTAAACAGAGATTTTTATTTCTTTCATTACATACAAACGCATACACATTACATAAAATAAACGGCAACTTGCAACGATAAATGAAATGAATCAAAAGAAAAAACAATATAGGAGTAATAAATATAAATCAAAAAACAAAAAAAAAGGATTTCATACATCACGATTGAATTTTGCTTAAAAATAAAAGACAAAACAAAAAATAATTGATTACGGATTTGTATCAATGTAATATTCCTCTGTTTTTTTTTTTTCATTTAAGATAAATATAAAATCAAAGCAAAAGTAAGCCCTGTAAACATAGTTCACATAGAATAAAAAATAATTTTAGAGTTCATCAATTTCATATTTTATTTTTTAAAAATGAAAAATAATTTTAATTTGTGCGTCTTTTTTTGTTCTATCTGACAAAAAAAACATATTCATGTTGGACGGGGAATAAATGGGATGTATGAAATAAAAACAAAAAAAAAAACGGAAAACTGTGTAATTTTATGCATATTAATTGTGCATTTTGGATAGCTTTTGACTAGATTTGGTGTTTTTTTTTTGTATACCAAAACAAAATTTTATTCATTAACAATTTCATTTCAATTGCAATATTGACAACGAAATAATAAACATCGTTTAAAATATTCACCAATTCGAGTAAATGGTATCGAATCACATTTACCAACAGGACCAATTAAGCACATAATGGTAAAAAGAAAAACATTGAAAATACCCATGATGTAAGCACTAGAAGAATAATTCAAATGAAAAAAAAATCTTTGTTTTTTTTTTGAAATTAAAACAAAAAAAAATATGTTTTACATACTAATTGTCATTAAAAATTGTCCCATTTGTCGAAATGCAGTAAGCGATGATAATGTCATTGAAAATCTAGCTGCAAATGTTGTAAATGCCGCCATAAAAACAGCTGAACCAACACGAGATATTGATTCTGTTACACGTGTTTCACATTCGATTTGTTGTTGTTTATATATTAAATGATAAGTACTCATTTCTAGAAATCAAAAAATATATTTTACTTTATTTTGTGAAACACAATCGAAAAGGAGTGTTGAAGTATATAGATTAGAAATTTGTATCCCTCACAGACCGTGAGAGACGTTATTGATATACGATTTGTGATCGTATATCAATAAAGTCTCATTATAATATATGAACTACTTCCTTATTACATTTCTGAAGGATTAAGTGAAAGGACAGTGAGGAAATGTGACCCAAAATAGATAAAATAATATTATCTTTCAGTAATTAGCAACAGCAGCTATATCGTGTTTCATATTTTAATCCTGCAGGAATTGAGATAATAGTGTTTTTTTAAAAATAGACAAGGACAACTTACTACGAGGAATTCGTATTTCTATATTATCAGGAGATTCTGTTGGTGTTGATATTGATGATAAATAATGTTGTTTTATTTTTTTTCGTTCATGATCAATATCTGCTGAATCTGTATGAATATAGCCAACACCAAAATGAACAACAAAATCTACTGAAAGACTAACAGACATAATAACAATAATAGCTTCAACTATTCCTAATTCTCATTTTAATGCAGCAAATACTGCAACACTAACAGCTAAAATAAATAAAAACAATTTTTTTTAAAATAAAAAACACCCCAATTTCTATAAAAGAAAACAAAATAACAACTATAGTTACCAATAACAAAAGTAATTGTAATTAAAGCATAAACTGCAATAAATAAATTGCCTGATGTAAGAAAAAGTACAAATAAAGCAATACCAAGTGATCCAATTAGAGATGAATAAGAACCAACAAGTAATTCAGGTTGAACACCATAAAATGCAAAACCCGGAGAAGAAAACCATACATGTTGTAAATGTTTTGGTGCATTTTGTTTTATATATGGATCAAAGAAATTTTTTACTTTGAAATAATAATGGGTGTCACGTAAGTTCTGATCCCCTCATCAAATATCTTTTTCTTACATGTTTCTGCATTCGAAGAGACTGATATTTTCAGTATTTATACTAGATGTCTAGATCTACTCTATACTAGAATTTCACGTTTCTACTTATTTCTATTACAGTGATACAAGCATCACCAAAAATAATAAGAATTTTTGAATTGTAACTAGAACCAATTATGGACGAGAAAAATTGCATCCAGTCTATAACGGATCGCTATCCGG